TGATGTGCCCACTACCACACATTTGGACTGATTTGTGACCACTGTTTGGGAGGGATGGTTATATTGTGTATCTGGAATGAATTTTAGGTCTCTACGTCCATCCCATGGGGAATGGGAGCAGTAACAAAGGTGTTGCGTTTATATTTTTGTTGAGTGTATTTATTAAAGTATTACACATTTGCAGAGAATGCAGTGAGACATGGCCCATTGTTGTTTTATTTCCACACTTACACTACACTTGTTATAGAGTCAGCTGTTTTTATGTTTTTATTTTTATTTTAGGAATCTGGTTAAAAACTATATGAGTCCACTTAAAATGTTATAATTTTCTTTGACTTGGCAGTCTTCACAGGGATTTTTCTCCCTGAAGTTTTAAAGCTTGCGCCTATATTTTTCAAGAGAAAAGATGGAAATTATAAAATCAGTTCACCTTGACAGTAAGTTTCCCTTTTCTACTACACTTTATTGTATTGCCAGCTGCCACTTAGATGCACTGGATACTTAGTTAGGTACACTTCAATTGAACTCTTTTTTAATATTCAGAATTGCCTTAATTCTTCAAGGCACAGATTCAACAAGCTTGTGAGCAATGGAAACATTCCTCAGACCTTTTGCTCCACACTGACATAATATCATCACACAGTTGCTGTAGATTTGTCCATCCATGATTCAAATCTTTGGTTTCACCACATCCAAAAGGTGCTTCATTGGACTGAGGTCTGATGCTTGTGGAGGACATTCAACCACAGTCATTGTCACGGTCAAGAAACCATTTTGAGATGATCTGAGCTTTGTGACATGGCATATTACAGTGTTGGAAGCAGCTGTTGAAAGATGGGTACACTGTGGTCATAAAAGGATGGCCATGGTCAGCAACACTACTCAGGTAGGCTGTGGGGTTAAAACCATCCTTGGTATCAACAAGTCTACTAAGAAAATTTCCCTCACAACTTCACTTCACCACAAGTATGATCTAGTAGAAGTTTGGATGGATCCATGTTTTTACATTGTTTACACCAAATTCTGGCCCAACCGTCCTAATGTACAAATAAAGACTTATCATACCAGGTAATCTTTTTCTAATCTTGCATTGTCTCAGACCATGCAAATTGCAGCCTCAGCCTTATCTTAGCTGACAGGACCTGGTGTGGTCATCTGCTGCAGTAGCCCAACATGTTCAACATGTTGTGTGTTCAGAGATGCCCTTCTGCATACCTTTGTTGTAACAAATGTTTATTTGAATTACTGTTGCCTTCCTATCAGCTTGAAGCAGTCTGGCCACTCCTCCTCTGATTGCTGACATCAGAACGACATTTTCACTCACAGAACTGCAGCTCACTGGATATTTGCACATTTCCGTAACATGCTCCATAAACCCAAGATATGGCTATGAAGAAAACCATACTAGATCAGCAGTTTCTGAGCTAGACCAGCCAGTCTTTCTCGAATTACATGCCACATGCAAAGTCACCTATAAAAATCACTTTTCTTTCTGATTCTGACACTTGCTTTGAATTTCTTTTCTCATCATTGGGAGGAAAAAAACAGGAAACAATAACATCAACTTGACCTAATCCAGCATATTTTTTTATGCTTTATTAGTCATATTTGTATGGTTACACATTTGAAACGACTGGTTATTGAATGGCAAAAGCATATACTCAGAAAGGGTTTGCAATGTGTTTTGTGGGTAGGGCTGAAGGGCTTTTCTTTGGCTTTGCATATATATTTGATTCTGCTACTTCATCTGTATCTTGTAGTTTATTTCCAGTTTCCAGTTTATTTAATATTGTGTGCATACCTGCCCAGGGACTGCAAGTGAAAATGAGCTAGTAGCTAAATCTGTTG